CCCCAAAACCCCAAAACCCCAAAACCCCAAAACCCCGTTTGAATTTTAACTATTTGAATTTGGCCTTTGCGAGTATAAGCTGGGAATTTAAATCTATGGAGTAAACTCTCAGCTCTCTTTATTGAGCCAGACTTCTCCTTCATAATCCTCAGAATCAGGGGATAATGTTATCAAACAGATTAAATAAAAATTAGAAATAACTGACTGAGTTGTGCATTAAGAACATCTCAGGTTGTTAGAATCTGTTCACTCTGACCATATCCTTCACTATGGAGAATGTCTTTGCATGATCACTGCTCTCCTTCTTCATGCTTCTTTTGGTAAATTTAGATACAGATTCATATTTTGACCTTCCCTGTTTCGCATTCTTTATGTTAATTATGTTACAATTCGTTCTAAGTAAAGCTGTAGAAGAAGAGGAGTTTAAATTTCAGTTCTTCAACTTGGAAATACTGTTGTCAAAATTTGAGTTATTGTGCATAGAACTCCCATGCATCACCCCTTGAGATGGCCGAGACTTGACAGCATGTAAGTTCATTCCTCTACAATTAGTTCTTGATTCAGAAGAGGCTCCTATCATTCCTGATTTCTTAATCAGGTTAGAAATACTCTTCTGGTTCATATTGTCAATAAAATTAGGGTTGTTCTGAGAATCATGATGAGAAGAGTCAAAATTTTTCCGGATTCTCTTGCTTGATTTCACATTCAGCCGGGAAAACTTCTTTGAGGACCTACAGCAATCAACGAAATGGGCTTACTCGTTATGTTCAGAAGTCTTCTCTATAGATGACTTCTTTCAGTAGTGCTTTTTGATAGCCTTCTTTCTATTTTTGATTCATGAGATCGTTTCTTTTTCAGTAGTTGCACAAGCTGTTTCTGACTGTATTGTGGTCGGGACAGTTGACGTGTTTTTAAAAGTGGAGCTAGACACTTCATTGGGAGAGGAAATATGCGATTTTTGGTGGTTTCTGGATTCTATATGACCCTCCTTGCCCTCTGATTTTGACCTGTAATATTGTAAAGCACTTTTCGCATGATTGTAGGCTGTATCATGATCTTTACTACCTCGAGTCTTATTTGCAATCCCCATCATATTGACGTTCATCATCTTTTGGTCCATGTCGCCTTCAATGTCAATGTCTGCGTCTTTGTGCTCATTGCTGGCTTCTGGGGATGAGGAAGATACCTCATCATATTCATCAGAGATTATTCTGAATGTTTTTCTTGTCTTGTTCCTTTCCCTCTCAGAGATAATATTTTGATCTACTTGATGTTGATTCTCTTTATCATGCTCATCATAAGTCTTGTGGCCTAGCAAAGTGTCTTTGCAGTCAAATCCTTTGTTCCTGTAGAAGTCAAGCTTGCTCTCAAAGTTTCTCTCTTTGCTTCTTGAATAATTTTTCTCTGTCCTCTTATTGCTCTTTGAAAGATTTAAAAGTCTAGAATTATTAGTGTTGGATTTCCTCTTTGTGTAGCACTTTTGAGATGAATTATTTGTAAAAATATCCTTTGTGCCGCTCTCTTTTGTGCTACTGTTGAACACATGAGCATTGTTACTTTCTCTCTGACTTTCAATAAACTCCTGAGGCGCTTCACCCCTCTTGCTTTTGAGGAATTCTTGGTAAACTTTATCGTACTCCTCTCTACTGTTCTTGTCAAGCTTTTCTCGTGACTTGTTCGAATTGTACAAACTAGAGTATAGCTTTGAAACAGTTTTCTTCTGTAAAACAGTTGTCTGTGCTCCATTATGATAATTAGCTATACAGGTAAAAAGCCATGCTTACGTTTTGAGTCACTTCTCTCATTGCTCCTGGAGAAGTTACGAGCTTCTCCTTTAGATCTAGCAATGAGGGAATATGTCTTTCTCTCATTTTCAAGATTTTCCTTCTCTTTTTCAAGTTTTCTTTTTGTATTACCTAGCTCTTCCTGAGACTTCTCGTATTTGGCTGTTGCTCTGTCAAGTTTATGACTGAGATCTTGCACTTGTTTCTCAAGTTTGGTGATCTCTTCTTCTCGGATTGTCAGCATTTCATCCATTCTATTCATTGTCAGATTTTGAGAATTTTCAGATTTTTTATTTTCATTTTGAATGAACATTTAAACGATTCTTAAAGAAATAAGACTATCAGAAATGGATTACTGATTAAAATAAGCTACACGAAGGAGCAAAGTAAGATAGTGAAAAGATAAAAGCGCGTTATGATCTTAAAATCTGACTTGGGCAAATAAAAGCACTCAGCTTCACAAAAGTTCTCCTTTATGTTACTAATAACTAGAATTATAGGGTACCTTTTAAGCTCTCTTCTATGTCTCTGTTTCTCTCTATCCATTTTATCAATGACTTTGGCATCCTCGTCTGATTTCTCTTGAATGTTTTCAATATGTAGCTTCAGTTGTTGCTCAACACGGATGTGTTGACGCACATCTGCTTCTAACTTCTGAACCATTTCTTCGTAATCATTCTGAGGCTCATTGCCGTCCTCCCTTGGGGAGGACGGCAGGTAAGCCTTTCTTTCTGATGAGGATAATTTGAGGTTCATCAAGATCTCAAAGGAGTTCCGGATGTACTCTAGGATCACACAGGGCTCAACTGTTAATAGGTGAGATTTTTCCTCTTTAACTTTGGCCTTGTTGAGGGCTTCGCCGTCTTTGCGGATTTTTACGGAGAGATAGAGGTTTATTATGGCTTCTTGAAGGGAAGAGGGCTCAGTGAATTCGGACTCACTTTTGGAAGGTGTGGAAGCATTTGGGAAGATTATTTCGGAAAATTTTTGGGTTGTTTTAGGATCGGTGAGTTCCGAAGATATTTCTTCTGTTTTTGAGGAGGGAGTTATTTGGATACTGTCGTCTATAACAACGATTTTATATTGATTAGAATAAATTTTGAATAGTTACAATATTCAGAATCAAAATGATTCAAATTTTATAAAACAAATGCCTAAACTCAGCGGATCCAATAATAATCTCTTCTCTAAACACATACATTGCTAAATAATTCTAGATTTACTCTTTTATCTTTATGCAAAGTCTAAACTCTAATTCTCTCCATGCCTATTCCTACTATTCATATCACGAAAATCTTGCATAAAGTAGCCTCTTTACTCAATATCTTTAGTGGATTCACAAAATCTGTTATAAATATTCCAAAGGAAAATTTATATGAAGGATTTATGTTCGGATGCAGGAGTTTTGGAAATATCATGGGAAAGTTAAGAAGATATATTTTGGTGCGGTAACCGCATAAAAGATAGGGTTCCAATTTAGGTTATACAGAGGTAGCTTAAGGATCTCCTCTAGTGATGATAAATCCTAGGCTTTTAAGTTTAGAAGTATTGCTAGGCAGTTTAATATATATTAAGATTATAAAAATGCCGCCATATAAAACATCCAGAAAGAATCAGCATTAAGTCTTATTATTAGATATAACTCACATGTTTTAAAAGAATCAAAAATCCTTCAAAACTCCAGATCAGACATCCTCAGCCACTTGATTCCAAAATGGCCACATCCCTTATATTTTACTTACAAAGCTCATTCATCTTTATTTATGTGAAGTAAAACTATTTAAATTTTCAACTATAACTCCTTTACCCGGGGTTTTGGGGTTTTGGGGTTTTGGGGTTTTGGGGTTTTGGGG